GACGATCGTGTGACAGCCTACCCTCTGCTGTCGATCGTTGATGCTGAAGGCGACCCTCCCTGTGGGCTGTGCAGCCGACGAGTCGACGGCGAGGTCGTACATGGAGAAACGAGGCAGCTGACGAGTGATTTCAAACACGTGGAACTGAGTGCTGACGAGGACGAAAAGAACAGGACGACGTGAGAACGAGAGCGGCGTTGTTAACCGCATCAGAAAAAGACTCATTACTCTGATCTGACCTGGTTCTCCCTCCAACAAAGGCTTTGATGTGCAGATCCACTGGGATGTCCTTCGGGGGCACAATGGGGACTCTGACACAACCAGACAGGTTTTGAGCGCTGGGGTGGACGACGTGACTCTCACCCTCAAAGATGCCTTCTGCAAAGATGAGCACTGCACGGATAACCGTCTCTGTAAAAGATCAAGGAGAGACTCAGCGACTTGTACGCAAACACTCGATAAACGGTGACGCGCTAACCAACGCTACCATTTGGTGTTGAAATGCTGAGCTCCACATGAGCCTTCTGGGTCTCTGCAGCAGCTTTCACTGACAGCGCTGTCTGGAGCTGAGTGTTGGCTGGTATGACTCCCATCCCACTGTGCGTCTCTGACACACCCTGAAATAAGAGCAGAGTTTATGACTCCTCACACAGGCGGAGCCCAGAAATCCTCTCAGAACACACAGTTGTTTTATTAACGTGGATAAATCAATAACAAAAACTCTTTAACACAATCACAAACAGCTGCCTCAAAGGTGCAACTGTGATGGTGCCTGTCTGTAAAGCAGTGTGCTCCAGCTCCAGGGTTTTTATAAAGATCTGTCGTTAACATTTAAGAAGAGCTTTTTAAATTATTGGTACCATAAATGTAGAGCCACTGTGTGCCTGCTGAAATGTAGAACCCACAAACATCCAGATGTGTGGCTCATCAGTTTATTGTGACTGAATAAATCACCTTGGCATTCTCCTCGTAGTTGCGAAGCTCAAGCAGCAGATTCTGTCTGCGCTGGCTGAGCTCTCGAACAAGGTCCTGCTCGGCGCTCGTGTCCATGAGATTCCCTTTTAGGTCTTTACTGGCTGGCAGATAACCACGAACTACAAACACATTGACAGGTATAGCAACATCCTCTGATGAGCTCACAGTGTCAGTCTTTGAAATGATACCTGGCTTGTCCGTGTTCACAGAAAACACAAGGAAATGTACAAATGTCCATTTTCAACCAGTTCTCACACACTTACCTTCTCCTTCTGTGGAGGTGCAGATGAGCTGTTTCTGTCCATCCAGCCTGTAGTCTCCCTCCACTACTCCAGCCACAGAAGAAGAGAAGTTGTCTTTGAAGATGACCTCACCAGTGCGGTCGCTGCGAGCGTCAATCTGACATAAAGCACACAGAATCCTCACCAGTCGTTGTCCCACAAAATCATTTTGAGAAAGTCCCACGTTAAAACAGTAAGAAGTCGTTTGTGGATAACAGCTGTGGACTCACCTTTCCATTGGACCAACCAGTGATGAGCTCCACGACCCCATCGGCATTCAAGTCAAATGCAAAGATGCTCATTGCATGATTCTTGGACTAAGTGAGGAGAAAAGAGCACATTACACAGTAGAAAACTGAATTATTCACATTTAATCTCAGCCAGAACTGTCTTTACTCATCAGGTTCAAACTGCAGGTGAGCAACGCACAACTGTCCTCTTCATGCTGTGAAAGGTAACACTGTCCACCGTCCACGAGCGTCCTACAAATGACTATTAGTCATGTTACGAGTAGTATTTGTTACTACTACACTAATCCCCGTCAGAGACATTTATACTGGCAGACGTGAGCGGAGAGTCAGGATCATCGTGGCGCTCTGGACCCCCCAGTAAAGGCTACAGGTCGATCAGGTCAAAGACAAACAGACTCAATAAAGGTTTTTACCCACACGCTGTCAAACACACCCCACCTCCACCCGGACTGAAGGCTAACTGTGCTGCTAACATTTATTTACATTTTCACTGTAGTTATAAATAACATTCCTGCCTCTTACTCAATGTGCACGACCACTGATTCCACCTTACAGCATATAACTTGGATACAACTGTATATATCTATATGTATATATCTGTGCATCTTTTATGCTAAAGTCACTTTAATGTAATCGACATATTGCTAATGAGAGATGCCAAACTGCCGTCCATTGTTCTTGTAACAGTGACAATAAAGATCTCATCTGAACCACATTCACAGAACAGATTCCGTTTGACATAATCTGGTTATAAATGAATTGAGAAAAAAATACATTTGGATTAATTAAATGTTTATTGCAGAATAATCTCATAGTTTTGAACTTTTAGGAAACATAAAAAGTACAAAAACAAAATGAAAAGAAGGAGAGACACCAAAGAAATGAGGAACGTATGAAGATGATGACGGTACCTTGATTCTCCAGTAGCGGGCAGCGCGGTCGTACACGCCGACAGTGCCATTAGCCAGAGCATAACCAAACCTGCTGCCGTGCATGTGGCACAAAGACGTTACTGTCTGTTGGAGGAAGACACACAGATAAGAAATTGAACAACACATTAGTGCTACAAGTGCAAAGTGTTTTATTATTGCTTCTTGTGCACAAAGCGCATTAAAAACATGTAACACAACATGATCAAGCTAGCAGTTACCAAGCTAGCAGTTACCAAGCTACGCGTTGCACCCTCATTTTACCTCATTCTCCGTCATCTCTGACACAAGTTCGTCCTCTTTGAACACTCTGATGTCAAAATCCTCAGACCCCACCAGGAGCTGTGAGTGCAACAGCAACAACAGCTTTATTTATATGGCACCAAATGACAACAACAGTCACCTCAAGGCAGTTTGTACTGTAAGTTAAAGACCCTCCAGTCATGTTTGCATGAATTAATGTCATACCTATATTTATAACAGAACTGTAAGATGCTCTGTTACTAACATTGTAGTGTGTTAAGTGGAAAGCTCCCCGACTACTGGGCAGTCAAGACTTACCTCGTTTTTTCCATCTCCAGTGAAGTCACAGAGCACCAGAGACCTGACATTATCTCCAGTGACCTAAGAAAATGTAGTTTAAGATCAAGTGGAGCACAATTTCTTTATAAATATGTGAAAAATATGTAAACATTCATGATTTTAGACCAAGAAAACCAGTTTGATGAGATCTGTTACTAGTTAACACATACAAACTAAAAACACTAGATACTGGGGGGGAAAAAATCTTGCTTTTTTCTTACCGTCCAAAAGTGGTCATTGCCCTGATAGTCAAAGCCTTGCAAGGCACAGTTCCCTCCAATGATAGCAAGAGGAGAGGGGATGTCCCCAAGTTTCCCCAACACGATGGCGTTAGCTCCATCTGTCACCTGCACACAGAGAAGAAACACGTTTAAATATAAGCCAGCTTCACATCGTTTTGGGCAAAGCATTTATAATCGAGCCACTTTTCATTTTGTGACTTGAGCTATGAAGCAGAGATTTTTACTCAACTGTATAATTAGCTGAGTCAGTCAGGTCGTGGCGTCAGCTGGTTAATCAGTAATTCTGTCACTTTTTAAACCAAACTACACATAAAAAAGCTGCAATCAACAGAACTAATTAAGAATTGTTTGAATCCTGATTTAAATATAGAATAACACAAGTCCAATGTGTTGATGCTCAATCATCCAGCAAAGTAAATCTCCAAAAGTTGATTCTGTTCTTCTGGACGTAGCGTTTTGTGGGAGAAACGTTTCGTCATCATCAGGTGACGTCTTCAGTCTCAGCTGACTGCAGGTTTCAATCTTATAAACAGGACATTTGCACCATCACCTGATGATGACGAAACGTTTCTCCCACAAAGCGCTACGTCCAGATGAACAGAATCAACTTTTGGAGACCCAGTTCCAATATTTTTCCTGACTTTACTCACCTCTCTGTAAAATATGTCAGCATTGTCATGGACATCATAAGCCAACAGGTTTGTCTGGGATCCCACCAACAGTGTGTCCCCAGTAGTATTTGGTCCCAGTCTTCCTGCAGCCAAACAGGTGACTGCCTGATTGATGTTGAGCAGAGAAATGTCAGAGTCTTGGGCACTCTGGCTCAGTCGGTGAGCCACAGGTCTCTGGCCACGGGTGTGGGGGTTGTGAATGAAAACCTTTTAATGAGAAAGACAACAAGAGAGTAGGGAACTGCCAAATGCTCCAGAGTCAGCAGTTCTTTTCCACACAGAGCCAGATAAGTTTGGGTAAATGAAATCATCATTTGAAAACTGCATTTTGTATTTACTGAGGTTCTAATTGTCTAACATTAAAATTAGCTATTAATGTGAAACAGGTAACTGTGACAAGTACGATCAAAAAAAGAAATCAGGAAGAGGGCAAATACTTGGTTGTTTTCACTCTCATCGTGTCACAAAAACATGATAGTAATTTTCCTACAGGATGGATGATATTTACACATAACTGTGAGGATTTTGCAAACATTTATTTCCCTCACCTTTCCAGCCTGCGTGGCGGCAGTAAGGCATGGATGAACCCCATCAAACTGTCCAATAGTCACCATGCGAGGGTTAATCTTGTGGTTCAGCTTCAGAGTGAATATGGGGACCAGCATGATGCTTACTCGGGTCTTAATATAGAGATGAGAACTTACTGAGAATCAAATATCTCACACACAAGACGAGAAGGTTGCCTAAAGATAAGCAAAAGGTGATGAGTAACTTTGCCACACTAATGTAATTACAGGCTTTAGCTCAGCCAGCCACAGGCGACTTCCGTTGCCTAGCAACAAGGAGTCGCAAGCTAAAGCTTTTCATCTGGCTAATCTCCCCGTCGTTTGCTCCAGAAGAATAGCTTTTAAACAACCATAAGACACCACACCGACACCTTCACACGTCGTAAGCCCTGCATAAACACCAAGTACGGCATGGTGCTTTCTGCTGAAAGAAATATTGGACTTAAATGCATGGAAAGCTAGCACAACTAGCTGACATTAACGTCGATGTCTTGGAACTCGCAGGAAACAAGTCCAAACTACTGACGGCCCAACAACAAAACACATCACTAATTTGTGACAGACGTACCAGGCCCACACGTTAGCAGCAAAACTTCGATTTTTGTTCCAAAGAATCCAGTCGCAAATGAGCTACCTGGATAAAATGATAACACGGCCACAGGAAGTCGACTAGCTGCCAACATCCGGTCTGCTGTTTTCAAAATAAATTACACAACTCAGAGTTGCAGTGGGCTAATGTTGCTATACATGGAAGAAAAATGCATTTCTTCTTCTTCTTTCAACAGATCACCTTCCGTCATCTTAACCTCTTCCTAATATTGTGTCACCCCAACCCACTTCATGTCCTTCTTCAATATATCCACAACCAGCTTTGCTATCTTCCTCTATTCCTTCAGCTTGGGAGCTCCATCTTCAATATCCTTGTGCAGAGGCGGGACTGTGGATGTACTGGACCTCTAATATACTCATTTTTAACCTTGTCTTTTCACTCCCACTCAAAATCTTACTATGATGCCAGGTCTTTCTTGGAAATGAGATTTTTAATCTCAATGAGATTTTTTTTACCTGGATAAATAAAGGATTTAAAAAAAAAACTCAATTCTGCCACCTCCAACTCATCCGCCTGTCTTTTTTCATATTTCTACTGCCACATATCACAACAAGTCTCACTACCATTTTGCAAACGGTCTATTTCACTACTGTTACCAATCACCCCTGGCGCTCATCTTAACACACTCTACCTGCCTCACACACGTGTGTGTTCTGTTTCGTTTCTACTGACTTTGATTCCAGGGCACACCTCTACCCCTCCAGGCTCTCACTACAGATAACAATGTTGTCTGTGAACATCATGGTCCACAGACTTCTGCCTAACCTCTTCTACCAGCCTGTCAGTCAAAACTATCTCATCACCTGTCCAAATGGGGATCAGATCAGAATTCTGTGCTCCTAAGGACTACCACATGATCGGCCCACGGTGTCTCTACGTTTATTTTATTAGTAGTTTAAAAAATAAAATAAAATCCCACCACCACCACCAACAACAACAACAACAGGCGTTTTAGTAAATAAATAAATACATTCTGACAACTAAGGATTCAATTCAGTGGGACAATCTCAGATTTTCCATTGAAAAGGTGTAGGTGGAAACTTAAGCTTGTTACATCTGCACTTTTTACTTACATAATATCATAAATGAATTACACTAACACAACACAACCATAAAAAACATCAATAATAACTTTGCCACTTGGTTTTTGAACTTTAAAAATTGAAGAAAAACTTAATAACTCCTCATCAAATTTTCCACTCAAAATTTGTAAGCAATATACATATTTTTTAACCACTTACTTCTAAATTTCTATTTTCTAAATTTCTAATTTAGAAGTACTGATAAGTTCTGTGTGGTTAGAGAGTAATTAAATATGTTAAATAATTCTCTTCACAGTCACAAAAGTCGAGTCCAACTGCATGAGAAAAGTAATGATTTCTGTTGTTGTGTGTTTTCATAAAGTGATTATCAACAGTCTGTCTTTGTAAAAAAGAAAAAGAAAGGAAAAAAAAGCAAGGGCTCGTCCGGGATTTGAACCCGGGACCTCTCGCACCCAAAGCGAGAATCATACCCCTAGACCAACGAGCCAGTTGAGAACCATGCCTGCATCTGGAATTGTTGACCATAAAGACGTGCTGTTGAATACTTCAAAACTTGTGATGTGGCACTTTGGCCTCGTCATTTTAATCCGGTCAAACAT